CTGCCTCTGGAAAGAGGCTTGAATTTAATCCCAAATTGCTTATCTTTACCAAGTTATTATGTCTTGATTTTCTGCTTCCACAGCCCTGTTTATTTTGGCTTTGGCCTCAGTAAAGATTATCATCATTAATATCAAACAAAAACATTTTAATTGCAAACACACCAAAGCTTTCACTGGAAAGCCTAACATGTAATCTGTAGCAGTGGAGGTCACATCAAGTCTTTGGGAAATATTTGCTTTATTTAATGAAGAGACTTCTAATAAGCAAACTTATTCCAAACAATTTCTCAAGTTACCCAGCTAAGAGAGAGAGGATTTGGCTTGCAAAGACTGAATAAAATCCATCAACATGTAAAGTCCATGAATTAATAAAAGCATTCTGATGTTGAGCCATTTATAACACACATCTTACTGTAAATATATGCTAAATTATAAATTAAATGAACTCACCTAACCAGTTACATTATTTTGTTTTGCATAATAAATCTGAATTTTAAAAATATAGGTGTGCATATATACATTTTGGGGAAAATCCCTATTCATTCTTAGGGAGAACATTATGGGTATCTAATAAGCATAATTAATGGGCTTAGACACTACCCAGACATATTCACACATGTTTTGGTTGGATAATTTGAAATGCTTTACCACTTTTTTTTTTTAAGTTACTACTATAATTTGGAGTTCACTAGCTAGCCACTCTTAAGAAGGAGCTTTTGGAAAACAAATGTCAAGGAGAGCCAAATTATTCAACAGACCATAAAATGTTGCTTATTAATTTCCTAAGGCAACCTGGGCTCAGTGGAACGAGCCTGTATTCCCAGCCTCCTGGGAGGCTGAGGCTGGAGGATCACTTGAGCCCAGGAGTTCAAGTCTGGGCAACAGGGACACACCACCCCTTAAAAAGAAAAAAAAAAAAGGAGAAAAGAAAGAAATTGCCAATGTGCCACGGAGTCTCTTTCATAGAGCATGATGGTTAAAGGCACAGGCTTGAATGCATTGATAATTGCCTGTCTCTGAATCCTGGCTCTATGCAGTACTTACCAAGTATAGGAAACTGTTCCAAGGATCCTCTGTAAAGTAAAAGCAACAATGGTACCTCTCTCATCTGTTGTAGGATTATGAGTTAATATTTAAATGCTAGGAATGGCTCATTTATGTTGCTTCTGTTCTCATTGTTGTCAATACTTTCCCCAGCCAGAGCAAGCACAGGCAAGAAACTATGGTTTTTGATGGAAGAAAAGGGTCTTAGATTGACTAATGAAGAAGAGCTGGTATCTAGTGTTTATTTTGTGCCATTTTGGCTAAGCACATCACATGTGTTATCTCAGTGAATCCTCAACCTCAGAAGGAAACGGGACTAAGAATGAGCAGTGTAGCCCTAGATAGTGGCAGCCTGGATTCCATCTAGGTAGTCAACCCCACACAGGCTCAGCAGTTTGCATCCACTAAATCTCCCACCTGCCTCTTCCAAACCTTTAAAAGAGATTGTATATCATTGTCAGCTTTCTCTATGAATCTTTCTGCATTTTAAATGTATTTTAGAAGAAATCTGAATTATCTGTATATCCAGAAAACTATTCATCCCAGGAAAAGGCCTTCTTTTCTGAGAGGAAAAGGGGGCAAGATACAGCTCCGTACCTGCAGGGAGCGCTGTCTGTGGTGTTATCTAGAACTTAGGTGCTCAACAGGAAGGTCCAGCCTTCGGAGGGTAAGGAAGCAAAGGTTGGGCTGGGAAATACTGAATCCGATTTGATTTTCAATACTGAAGACTAGCTGTTGGGGAGGAGGAGGAAAGGTAGAGGTTCAGGGGTGGGGGGAGGGAGTGACGGTGCCACTTACAGAATCTGAGAGAGAAGTCGCCATTCAAAAGAAATGGCTTCCTCCTCTCCTCTGCCTCACTTCCTACTGTGTTTCTTGGTGGTCGTTTCTTCCTGAGGTTACAGGATAAACAAACCTGGCACACGTTGTAAAATCCGCATGTTGAGGAGCTCCTGGGGCTTCAAGCCTCTCTGGGGCTTTGCTGTTTGGTCCGGCTAAGAGGTTTCATGTGTGTTGTTGTTGTCTTTTGCCCTCAACCATTGAAACCCTCCCTCACTTGAAGCAGCCCTCCCTTCAAAGCACCCACCCCACCTCCAGAGACAGATTGCCCATTTCTTTTATCTTTTGTATTTGGAAAACAAACCCAAGCCAAACGAGGCCTTGAGGATATTCCAGTCTGCTAAGGACCAGTCTAGTTCAAGAAAACTGGGGAGGAGGCCAGAGAGCCGTCCCCAGGCCGGTGCAGACCCCGGAACTCCAGATCCACACGTTAGGACTAGAGCGACCTGGGAAGGCTAAGAAGGAATGCAATTGGGGCTAAATCCGCTGAAGATCTTTTCGGGAAATGAGTAGAGTTTGGGTGTGGTAATTTCTTGCAACCAAATTTTCCTAGATTGAAAATTCCATTGTTAATTTTGGGTAAGTAAATCTCACTCGGATCTCCACTTATAGGAATGTAAAAACAGAAGGAAAAAGATAAAAGGAAAAAGGACAGATTTCTTCTGGGCACTATTCACTTCCAATTACAAGTGTGAGGTATACGGGAGACAGAAAAGTATCCAGTTTAACTCAGACTAAGGAAAACCAATTTTCCTCCCTTTCAATTGGCCTCAAAGAAAACACCCAAATAAATGGGCTTGTGTGGTATCTAAATTAAAATATGGCTACTCTTTGTTTTTGTACACATGCCTCCAAACATATTTTTTCCAGTTTCATAAAAATTAGGACCCAACTCTGTTCATATAGAAACTTCTTTTTAATATTACAATTCCAGGATCCTCGCACATTTTATATACACCATTCCACATTTAAAATGTATTTCTTAGGTTTACATAAAAAATGAAAGTGCTAAACTATTTACAAAAATATATTAAATACCCCTAACATTAAATGCAACGTTCCCACTTTAGACAGGAATGAACTTCTTTTGAATATGGCACAAAAGGATCACCGTAATAAACGTTAATGTATTATAAAACCAAACAACAACAACAACACTAATAAGGAGGCTAGACCTAAGCCACTCGCGGTTCCGAAAAAATAAAAGCCCAAAGCCGAAAGGCTTTTTCATTTGAACGTGCACAACAGTTTTTGAAACGTTTCTTTGTGAATATGTCTCCCTCCCTTTCACCAGCTTTTCGGTCTGGGTTCCTAAATGTTAATGTAACGTGACCTAATCTAAAGGATTAGGCCAGGAAGGGTGAGTGGGTGGATTCTTCCTGCTGCGTGGAGAAGGTCTCAAACGCCGGCCCAGTTACTTCTCCACCACCTCCTCCACGCAGGGGAGTTTGCGTTCCTCCGAGGAAATACTGTCCACGATGGAAGAAAGACATCGAAGGCTACTCGAGGCTGACGAATCAGTGCTTGCTCCTCCTGTACGCAAAAAACAAACACACAAACATAGTACCCGAAGAAGGAAAACGAAGCAACTCCGCGCCCCACGCGAGGCCGCTTTGGCGGCGCAGAAGGGCCTGGTCCCTACGCGGAAAGAGCGACCTTTGCGCAGGGCGCGTCCCAGCTCTCGTTTCCAGCCCTCTCGGCCCGACCATCCTATCCCCCTCCCGGATTTTCTCTGGTGCGGCCCAGAGCCCTTTCTTTTGCTTTACCTTCCTTAGCCGTTATCACGAGCCCCCTGGAATGATCGGAAACACTTGGCCACTGGGAGCTGCAGGTGCGCAGGAAATCCGCACCCTCAAGCTGGAGGGAAAACCAAGGCAGCAGAAGATTAGGAAAGAAACGTCGGTTCCGGGGGTGGGGGTAGGGGGAGCTTTCCTGCTTCCTCGGGCTGGGTACGCGTTTCCTGCCTATTGCAGGCACCCGGTCTTCTTGGGTCACTGGGGGTTCATTAGAGAAGGAGCGGGAGGGGCGGACGAGCACGGGGGAAGGGGAAAAAAAGACCAAGCAGCTGGAGGTTAAGGCCCAGAGGAAGGCGTTTAATCAGCCTTTGCATTTCCCTGCCCCAGCAGCATCTAGGCTTACATTTTCTTGCTTGGGTCTGTAGCTGAAGGCGTCAACCCCAAGTTCCTGCATTTTCTCCTGCTGATCCAGCCGGTGCAGCAGGTCCTGCAGCCGCTCAATGTAGCTGATGGCGCTCCGCAGAATCTCCACCTTGGGCAGCCTCTGGTTGGGGTTGGCCACAGTCCGCCGCTTCAGTGCCTCGAAGGCCTCGTTGATTTTCTTTAGCCTCCTCCTTTCGCGCAGGGTGGCGGCTTTTCGCCGGTCAGTGGGGGCAGATTTTCTCTTGCAGGTCTTGCAAGCCCAGATCAGACACTGGCCAGGGCAGTGGGGAGGCTGCAGGCCCGGGGGCGCCAGGACATGTTCCTCTCCGCTGCTGTCGCTCCCTGCTTCCGGGGGCATTTGGTCTTGGCAGGGGGACAGGGTACCATCACTCCCTGGATACAAAGGAGAGCCTTCTGCCGCTTCTAATGGCTGCAGAGTAACATTTTCCCCATCCAAGTAGAAGAAATAGGAGCCAGTTTCAAAAAGGTCCATCATCATGTTCTCCTCCTTGGCCTCTGACTCGATCTGAACTGAGTGATGGACTAAAAAACCCAGAGGAACCACCCAGATGGCATTTAATTAGTCCAGTGACATAAGTCGACTCAGCTTTATATATAGTAGCTCCTGAAACTCAATCCAACTTTTAGCTGTCATGGAGTATCTGTCTCCCAATGTGATTGCAGCTAGTGCTCTCTAGAACATCTAGTTTGAAAGAAAACTGAGAAGTGTCACCTCCCAGAGTGTTATGACAATCTATGTGCAGACCAGGTTACACAGAATGAATCATATAATTTAAACAAAGGATTGAACACTTCCATTTTGGGCATTTTAGATACTAACCTGCTTACACGACAACTTCAAAACAACTGGGGATTAACATTGCCCTATTCTCCTCCCCCTGTGCTCCTCTGAATTCTAAGTATAGACCCATGATGAAAGATTTCAAAGGCAATAGCCATTGCTCCAAAATAGCCTGGTTAATATTTGCGGCGTGGTTCAGCTCCTTTCTCTCTCCTGCCTCTCAAAAAGATGCTATTCCTGTGATTAAAACCATTACAGTCCTTCAAAGGTTATACATGACTTTCAGGCTTCAGTCTCAATAGAAGCAGGTAAATCTCTTTCCTCTCTTTTACTAAGGCTGCAAGGTGATTTGGGAGCTGGAGGGGGCGGCTGAAGGGTGCTCACATCCCGCGATACTGGATGAAATGATTTTCTGGGTCCTTCCATAGAGACTGTCCTTACTATCTTTTTTATTTTTTTCCTTTGGGGAGAGGGACAACAAGGATCTGAATTCTGTACCCTTCCATTTGTGGAGCAGTATTACATATGAGGTAGGGGGTGGGATAGAGGATGGGGTTGCAATACATGTAATAACTCCTCCTTAAAAATAGTTTTAGTGAAAGCAAGACTCACACCACAGCTACTTGATATTTCAGCATTTATTTGTGGCCCCCTCCAAGGTGGCTCTCTTATGACTCCAGTTCTGCACACTGTGTGCTCACCACTTTTTCTATTGCATTCTCACTATGCATTGACTCCAAATAATTTGTTTGATGGGATTTAAGTGAGAAAAGTAGCAACCAAGGCACGGGCAAGGAAATAGCATTTTTACATTGCAGCTTGCCCATGATCCAGTAGTCACATGTATTGTTCTTTGGGATACAGTACAATACAAAGGTGAAGTGCAGGGGCCCTGGATTCCAAAGAACTCTCTTCAAGTCCTACTAAGGTTAATTTCTATGTATATATCCATAGGTAAGTACTAGATCTTGAGTATTCAAGATAATAGTGGTTGCCTTACCGAGTTTTGGTGAGGATTCAATAAAGTAATACCATGCATGTGAAGCATATAGCACATAGATGCTTGGTGAACAGTAGTTATCAATTATAGTATAAAGCCATGTTAGGCCAAACACCCATTTCTATGAATGAAATAAAGCATAGCTGTTGAAGATTTTTTTTTCTTCCATCCCTCTGTTTTGTTGTTTTGTCCTTTCCTTTCCCTTTTCCTCCCAGGGCTCTGGAAGGACTTCCTGTCTGTAAGTGGCCTTTGGAATGACAGTCAACCTTGGTTTTGGTCTTTATAGTCAGTGCCTGAAAAACTACATGGAAACATAGAATCTTATTGCTCTACCCTAAGGAGTGATGCTTATGAGCTGTGTTATTTGTGACTTTATTTTTTAAAATGAATAGAGTAAAGATAATGCAGGAAATCAACTGTCAGATAATTTAGATAATTTTGACTTAAGTCGCCTTTTCCAGAAGATGATTCTTTACAGTTTTTATTGAGCCACAGACTTAGGATGTTAAGTTTTGACATTTTTGACTGTTTTTGTTCCTTATCAAGTTTAATAAACATTCTTAGATTTTTGGAATGATAGGAAGCAGAGAGAAGAGTTATAAGAAGCCAATACATCTCTTGTGACTTTTTTTTTTTTTTTGTATTTCTTTGTTTCTTGGTTTTCTTGTTTTCTTGGTTGCTCAAGTCAGCAATCAAAACTGCATATTGAAAGTTTCAGCAACTCGGTATAATCTAACATCTGCTATAGAAAATCAGCTTGTGCTCTTAACCACACTTTATGCTGTCTTATAAATGTAAACTGCAGATTGAAAGTTTCAGCAACTCAGGGTATAATCTAATGTCTATTATAGAAAATTAGCTTCTGCTCTTAACCACACTTTATGCTGTCTCTTGTAAATGTGAAGACAATTTGAAAAGTGTACTAAGATTATTATGATAAAAATAATTGAGATCATGAATATAAATGTCGGGGTCTGGCACGTCTGCCAGCGGACTACCGACCTGCAGGAGTCCCCGAGACCGCCAACGTAGATGTCTCATTCAACCTGAGGAAGAGAGTGCACGGAAGTGAAAGAAAATAGAAAAGCAGAGTCTGGAGGGCTTGCTTAGGCTATGTCCAAGCAGCAATTTTATTTTTGCAATCTGTTTCATTATATACTTTTCTGAAGTTAAAGTTGTTTATGCCAGATCAACATACTTAAGTTACAGTAAGCAAGTTACGCCCAGTAAGTTAAGTCCAGTAAGTAGGTTATGCCCAGTAAGTAGGTTACTTCCAGTAAGTAGGTTACGCCCAATAGGTCAAGGTAAGTAAGTTACAGTCAAACCCTGTAAGCTATGGTAAGTTACAGTTACACCCAGTAAGTTACAGTAAGTTACCAAGTGTAAATACTTAAGTTAATATTTTACAATGAAGATAACAAGGGTCCAAAATGAAAACAATCAAGCAATAAACCATAAGGAGCCGAAAGTGGTCACAATGCCTTGCAAGTCCTCATATCCATAAAGTAATGTCTGTTAATTATTTTGAATAACATATACTTCCTCTCTCGGTTCCTGCTTTTCCTCAGCTTGACTCCCCCAACCAGGGGTCTGTGTCTGGGCTCAAGCTCACCGTATGGCGAGGCCCATTTCCTAGGGGCCTCACATGGGAGCGATCCCCACAGATTCCCTCATATAAAAATGACTATTTTTTTAATTCAGCATTTAATGGGTATCTACCAAGTGCCAGATAGTGTCCTGGGTGCTAAGGATAAAGCATGAAAAAAAAGTCTCTCTTCTCATGGAGTCTGAATCTAAAGTGGTGAGTTAAATTAACAGACTAAATGGGAGAAATAGCCTTGGAATTGAGATGGGGAAGGCCTAGATTATAGTCCTTTAAGGCAAGTGAGGATTTAGTCAACCCTACTATCTCAAATCCTCAGATGTTTCATCCATAATATTGGTATGATGACAAAAGACATCCATATTCACAGGATGTTATAAAAATTAAATGTTTACAAATGTGAAACCCACTTCAAAAATGTAGCATCCTCTCTAAAAGTACTTTTATTATTGGAATTAGTATTTCGGAGGAGAAAAATATCACTTCTAAGCAATTTTGAAGCCCAGGTAAAGAAATAACATTTAAGGCATAACCATTCTTAGACTCGTCGCTGATTTTAAGAGGTATCAGTGTAGATGTTAGAAAGGCTGCACATCATAAGCCTGCTAAAAAATATGAAAGTTCACCTTTTTCTTTTTCTGTTTCTTTCATTCAAGTATCATCATTGGAGAAAGAGCCAGTTTAGAAATGTAGAAAGAGAATTATTTTTTTTAAAAAAAGTACATAAAGCTTTGGGATGCTGATCAAGAGCAACTTCTTAGGCAAGGGTAGCTTTTATTAGTGTAAATTCAACCTTCACCTATTGAATTGTTCCTTATTAAATTATAAATCCCCTTTTCCAACATGATCTAGAACTCAGACCAGTAAAGTTAATATGAGTGTTCACCTTGGTTTAAACAGATTTTTCCCCCTTTTTTGTTGTTGTTTTGAAGGTTGAGGGCAGGAGGTGGGAGGAGAAAACAAGGAAAGGCAAGCTTGGGAAATAAACACCCTTTATTTGATTAGGTCAATGGGAAAATACGCACTGATTCCAAACTACTAACTAGTGAACTCTTGGAACTCAAACTGCTTACAAAATATGAGATGCCTGTAATTGCAATTATATTACTTCTCAGTAGAACTTTGAGACACAGACCTTGGCAAGTGGTTAAATCAGGTTTACATAAACTACAACTATTTAAAGCTTGGAGGCATGCTTTAAATGGTTCAAATTTTTTTTGAATTATGAAAAAAGTAAATGATAATAAGGGAATAATCATATTATCACTAATAAAATCACTCCAAGGAAACTAGAGTTCATTCATCATAAAATCTGAAACGAGGTGATAGAATTGGAAGTTTTCATGTAGTTTATCGCCCTATTGTTCTTATTTCCTGCTTAATCATCTATAAATGACATTTTCCCCTTCATCTAAAAAAAAAGGCTGAGTGTTTCCCAATTGTTTTCTGTGATAAGAAGTGGGAGAAAAAGTATTATGGCTAGCTCATATCAGTAGATTTTAGCTATGAGTCTTTGGACGGATTACATATATGGTTGAAAGAGAAGAGAGCTTTGGAGAAAGAATCTGTGTTCTAGCCATTTTTAAGTATGTGTTTCTAGCCATAGTTTCATTAGAGAACCAAAAGCATATACATTACATATATCACAGGCTTGCTTTTAGCACTAAATGAAATAATATATGCTGAGCCCATGGTGTGGAATATGTACTCAACAAATATTAATTCTCCTTCTTCTACTCAATTTCTAAAGCTTCTGATGGAAAGAGTCATAGCGAATTCATTGAAAAACCTAGATTTGGTGAGAAAGATGTTGCTGATAAATTTGGGGATTTATTTGTGTTAAGGTAAAAATATTGAAACTAGTCACTCTAGTAACAGAGCTGGATGTATTTATACGCTCATTAAATTTCCAGTTAACTGGGGGACAAAGATACTAACTAAAAGTCACAGAAATGAGTAACCTAGTTAGGAACTTTGAAAGAAAGGAACGCAGTTCTGTAAGGTTGTGTAACAATAAAGTCCCTCCTGAACAGGAAACTGGAGAATAGGATGGCTTGGGAACAGAAGTTCCTGAGACATTGTGGTAGTATTTCTAGGGAACAAAGTTCAAGTTTTTGGAAAGTATCAGGATGATGGTGAAAGTCAGAGGAAGCTCAAGGAAGAAATAGACACAGAGGTGTATCAGAGACTAGTGAAGAGATTTATGTGGGTGAGAGCTGGGGGATTTGGCTACATAGTCAAGCTTCAAAGAAAGCAGATTGAGCCATAGCTGAAAAACCAGAACTGAGGGCCAGATCGAACATGATTATATACTCCTTCAACTATGAAAATAGAGGAAAGAAAATGGGGTAGAAGAAAGGAGAGAGAGAGAAGAGAAAGAGGAGCTAAAGAGAGTGAACAGAACGCAGGCCAGCCCTCAGGGCGAAGGGTCACCTAGCAAGGGCAGAGAGTAGCCATAAAGAATAAAAGGTAAAGGAGGAGCCCGCTGACTGAAAGGCAAAACTCAGAAGAGGCAGATTAGTGCTTTCAATTTGTGACAGCTAAATGAGTAACATGAGCTTCTGCACCTGTAATTTACCTAATCGGCAGACAGTTTGTGCCCAGAGATTCCCAAACACTGTGGTAAAAATAGTCTTGCACTTAGACCAACAGAACATTTGAGTCACTTCAGAGGACCTGGGGGAGGGGCATAAACCAAGCGGAGG